CTATGGGAATGAACGCAGTTATCCAAAGCTCCCCAAATTTGTTTAGTATTTGCATAGTAACTTAGTATTTTTTTTCTTGCAATGTTAAAGCGTTATAACTTAAGTGTATATATATTATGTGAACTGTTATGGCAACTGAATAACGCCAACGTGTCAAAAGTACTGTCTTTCTTGAGAAGTAGCTTAATTTTAATGGGTAGTCTAAATAAAATAGGCAATGCAGCACTAAAGTACTTCTCCTCTCCACTCCCATGCCTTCAAATGACAGAGCTAGACTGTAATGATAGGTTTTGTTTTAGCAAAAGTTATGTCTGATATACTTTTTATATGTACAATGCATACCTGAAAATCGTGCTCAATTTTATGTAAAACAAGCCCCTTTATTTAGTATAAACGAAACAGTATGAATGATTATAATTAAGACTAACATTTGTCATACAAGTTTAAACATTAACATTTTTTAAATTATTGCCTAACTTTTGCAACACGTTTTATTTGAGTGGGATTTTCTAAATGAGAAAGTGATGATTTAATGAACAATGGGTTTCTTTGTTAATACAATGGTCAAAGAACTGTATATACTATCTTACAAGTTAAATCCGCCTAAAAACTGCACAGACCCAGGTCTAATGGCACATTATTTGCCATCAAATCTTGGTAAAGGCAGTTAGGAGTAATCAGTAGCATAAAGAAGTCTATACCATGATCATTATGAGACATCAGATCAGGTTATATGTTGCCTGCAGTTAACTGGACTGATACATGAATTCCAGTATGTACAATTTTGAAAATTATTTTACAGCATAATATTATAGCAACTTCATTTTCAGAGTAAGTTTATTTACATAAGTAATATTTCAACTAATAATAATTCAAGTACTTTTTTTTCTTTCTATAATTTCAATTAATGTCATTTTATTTATAATTCACAAACAGATGAAACAGCGCATGCATTAATATTTCTTGTTTTATTCTCATCTATCAAAACATTGATTTGTTTATTGATAAATCTGAGTATCATTTGTAAACTGTAGATTAATATCTGCCTTGCAATTTACGGCTTTGTTCATCTTATCTGTGAGATGCAGTGAGACACTAATGTTTAAGGTTTTGTGTTTTCCTTCTTTTTTTTTTAAAAAAGTGAGATCAATACTGGTGTGCGATTGTATCTATTTACTTGGTGACTGTGTCTATTTACTGGGTGACTGTATCTATTTACTTGGTGACTGTGTCTATTTACTGGGTGACTGTATCTATTTACTGGGTGACTGTATCTATTTGCTTGGTGACTATCTATTTACTGCTTGATATCTTAGGTGGACAAGTTTAGTTTTGCTGCAAAACAGCATACAAGTCATCTATATCCACATAACATGTACATCTGATATATCAGACAATACACTTGCAAGTCAACCAGGTCCAAGTAAATTGTTTATCTGATATCAGACAGTATATATGCAGTCAGCCTGTCCATGTATCATGTCCATTTGAGATACATATAAACATATGATAAAGCCAAACAGCACGTCCATCTGAGATTTAAACAGCACACATGAAATAATCCGTTTAACATACACTACAGTTTTTCATTTGCATCAGTTATCAGATCTTATAACATTATTTTTAGGAAATTTATGCTCTTTTTTTCTCTACCAAATTTGTATAGAGTTTTTTCATTTATGACAAGCATAATTACATGCCGATCATCCAGTGCAAACATGGGATGGCCCTGCCAAGACCTATATAGTTAAGATGTAAATATTACCAATCAAAAGTCAGTAATCATTAAAGTATGAAAGTGTACTTCATTTCGTGAAATACTACATCACATAGACATGCTTACCCCAGAAAACGTTTTTGAGGGATGCCACCACCAAAAATGAGGGATACAGCATGAAAATGAGGAACATAAGAATGTTAGAATGAATAAACATAATAAATTCTCTCAAAACACCATTAAATAATAGTAATGCATATTTATAATAAATACTGTTGTATAAAGCTCAGCACCCACATATTTACAATATATACAAGTATACAAAATTCAAGTCCAGGAAAGCTCTTAAAAGTTTCTTTAATCATTGCTTCCATCTGTAGAAACAGTGAATGGGCAATTCCAAATTCTTTCAGCTAATTTTAATGTAGTACTGGCCGCTATTTCTTTAACAGTTCCTTTTGATCTACCACATTGAAATTGTTTATCAATGTCAGAGTAACTAAACATAATTTAAAAAGCCTTTGAGAAAATTAAGTGCGCTCATTGGCAGATTTTGAGTTAAGTAATAATATCTACTAACATAACTTCAGCTCTAATTACATCAGACTTAGGCATAGATGATGAAGTCATACTATATCCTGCCTATAATAATAAAAAAAACCAACAATTTTCTTAAAGTTTTTAACTTCTTTTTCAAGGTCGGAATGCCTTTGTCCTGATACGTGCTAGCAGATATCAAACATTCCTCCAGACTATATTGAAAATTAACAATTACAGATGTCTGCATTTTTTCCTATTTTACACCATCATGTATATTCAGATTTGATTAATTTCCTGTTCTGGTTGTGATAGCATATTTTATGACATGCAAATTTTGTATTACCACTTTTGCGGGTTTTCAGTACTAAATTCGTATTTGTGGGATGCAGAGGCAAATTTGGGCATTTTGCATGACTAATGTGCAAAATGCGGGATGGTAGGCATGTCTGCATCACATATCACTACATGGAGAAGAATGATTTGGTATGCTGGATTTTATTTGTGTTGTTAGCATCCGTCCATCTTTGAGAGACGATGGTGTAGCTCCCTGTTATTTATTTGTGTAAGGTAGTTAAAATAGAGTGAAACTTGAAATTGCAAATTTGTACTCATTGTTATTTTCAGACCTTCCTATGATATTTAAGTGTATGTGTGTGTGATTTAGGTTTTTAACATAGCTTTAATCATTTTTCAGTCATATCGCTACGATGTCAGCACTGTGACAGTTTACTGTGATGTCTAGCACTGGAGCATCATGCATATAGCATGATGTCCCACCCAGTCACATTATCCTGACCCCAGGCTGACCAGTCCTAACACTAACCTTTTAATGCTGAGTGCCAAGTGAGGCAAGCTGTTAGTACCATTTTTTAAAGTCTTTGGTATGACTTGTTCAGGGTTCAAACCCGTGACCTCTTGCATATGAGGCAGATGCTCTAACCACTAGGCCACTGGAGCAGTCATGAAATATAAATAATGTATGGTGCCTTATGGTAAGGAATTCACAAATAGTTACAAGTTGATGATTAAGTGAGCATAGAAAGATTTAGTGGTAGAAAAATATCTGAAATTACAGGATTATTATTATTTACAATACAGAAATATTTAAATGATTGCATAAAAAGGGGTTCACAGAAAAACAACAAATTTTGAGACCAAATTCCACAAGTAAAATAGGTGATCATGTACTTTTTCTTTTGACCATGTACTGTAGACTCCTCTGAATACTATGGGTGAGCTTAATGACATCATAATGTAAAATGTATTACAACATCATAAAATTGTGATACAAATGCCCACAGGTGACAATTATGTATGAGAAAATATTGACAATTATGTATGGAAAAATATTGGCAATTATGTGTGGGAAAATATTGCTGAGTTACTTCTAATGGGATAAATTCTGAGTATACAAAATACAGTGATTTTTTCACCAATATTGCCACAAAGTTAAAAGAACCAGTGATTGAAAACAACTTTAATGAACTGAAAAAGTTCTGCAGGAGCAAAATCTCTAAGGAGGTATCTTTCTCTATCCCACCAGTCTCAAAAAAACTTTGTTAAGAAATATCTCAGTGAACTTGATACTAAGAAAGCTACAGGAATTGATCAGATTGGTTCACGACTCATTAAATCTTCTGCCTCTGCTATTGTAGATAGCATAACATTCATAATCAATAAAGTATTGCATCCTCATCTCTTCCCAAAATGTGGAAAACTGCAAAAGTAACTCCTATTCACAAATCTGGTCCTAAGGATAATGCTGATAACTACCAGCCAATCTCAATACTACTAAACTTATCAAAATTGATTGAAAAGCATGTCCATGATTTATTCATATCATATTTAACCAAACACTTTCTGTTATACCCTAACCAATCGGGCTTTAGACAGAAACATTCATGTGAGACTAACCTTGATCTCCCTAACTGATAAATGGATTCAAGCACTTGACAAAGGTAGAATAAGAGGTTCTGTATTTGTAGATTTCAGGAAAGCTTTTGACATGGTGGATCATGAAATCCTTTTGAAGAAACTGAAAATCTACCAATGTGATGAAAGCAGTTAGATGGTTTACTTCATACTTATGTGAGAGAACACAACATGTTTATATAAATAATGTTCTGTCTGAACCTGGAACAATTAGATGGAGTACCACAAGGCTCAATTCTGGGTTCATTACTGTTTATTTTATTTATTAATGACCTACCACTTGTACTAAAGGACACAGTATCATCTACAGATCTCTATGCAGATGACACAACATTGTCAGACATCCAAAACACAAAGCAAGAACTCAAAATTTCTTTCAGATTGCCCTAAACAAACTGGACAACTGGTGCACATGCAAAGGCATGGTGGTTAATACTGGTAAACTAAAATATTACTTATCTCAACACGGAACAAGAAAACAAAACTTGATAGTGATGAACTATGTCTGACATGGAAGGATAAAAGGTTGCAAATGGTCTGTCACGATAGTCTACTTGGTGTTTTGGTGTGTTGGGTGTGTTTATGATTTTAACATAGCTTTTAAAAATTTTTCAGTCATATCACTACGATGTCTGCAGTGTAGCAGTTTATAGTGATGTCTAGCACTGGGGCATCATGCCGCAGACATATAGCATGATGTCCCACCCAGTCACATTATCCTGACACCAGGCCGACCAGTCCTAACACTAACCTCTGAATGCTGAGCGTCAAGCGAGGCAGCTGTTAGTACCATTTTTGTAAGTCTTTGGTATGACTCAACCGGGGATCGAACCCACGACCTCCCGCATCCGAGGCGGACGCTCTAACCACTAGGCCACCGGAGTGTTTTGGTAGATAATAACCTATCATGGACTGAACATATCAAACATATCATTAAAAAAGTCAATTCAAGTGTATGGCTTCTCTGTAGAATAAGACACTTTTTCCCAAAAAAGCACAGAAAACTATTTTATAACAGTTACATACAACCCTATTTAGACTACTGTAATACAGTATGGGATAATTCAAATGATAAAAACTGGCAAAGCTGGCACATCTCCAAAAAGAGCTTTTCAGTTAATATCAATCCAGAAAGAAAGCAGGGAAAATTTAGCTGGTAAGTTAAAAATACTACCTATTAAAGACTGAATCTGTTTAAGAAAAGCCAATTTAATGTACAGGATAGCCAATAATAATGCTCCTGAATATTTACAATCACTATTCAAGTATAGGCTACCTGGAAATACTCCCCACCTGCGATCAATGTCTACCAAACATTACAAAATTCCCAAATCAAATAAGGAATTATTTTTAAAAAAATTCCAATACTCTGGAACTTTGCTCTGGAGTAGTATTCCAGTTGAGATTAGAAATGCCCACTCTATTTCCTTTTTCCAAACCCAGTATATACAGTGGCTTCAGAGATGCAGCAAAAATAAGTAAATTCCTTTGAATGAGGGCCTCAAGGTAGATTAGTTCTTAGCTAATTGAGTTACCCTCTTTAAATAAAATAATAATAATAATAATAATAATAATATAATAATAATAATAATAATAACAAAACTTGCTCCAGAATAGAAGAAGATTAAACTCACTCTACAGTACATCATCTTCACCCCAACCCTATGTTGATCATATAAATATGTGTGATTTAAGAAAACAATAGGATTGGGTTGACCTAATCAGTCACAGTAAATTACATTTTTGTCATTTTACTAAGTATTTGACACTATCTGAAAACAATATAAGTCTGATTCAGCAATGAATCACAGTGGGTTTATTGCTAATTATTTGATGACATATTCCTCATCCATTTTCTCCTAAGTTACCATGAATTCATTTAGTTTCAGCTGTAGCATAAGTTGTATCAAAAAAATAAATTTATTGCTGGTTCTTTAACTGGTTGCCATTCAACAGAAATGGTATTAACACCAAATACATTTTGTGATAAGTTTGTAGCATAAGATGAAACAGCAATAACACCAAGGTCATTTTCGAATTGGCATTAGACAGTGATGGCATTGATGCCAAAGATTATTTACAATAGCAACCAAAAAATTCATGAAAATCTGCATCTCATATGGAAAAATATTCACAATTAAATGTGGGATCAGATAATGTGTATATATCAGGTATTCATCCATCTTCACTTTATAAGAAACATATATAGGTCAATGGCTATTAACAGTTATCATACAGTGTACTGAATGCAATTTACTGAATTAGCAATATTAAGAATTAACAAAAGCATTAAGTTACGGTAAAACTGAACTAAAGAAAATTTCAACAAATGTATTTTACAACTTTTATTTACTAGACATATACATTCTATAAAAGTGTACATTTAAAAATACACAAGTACATGACAGCAAGAAACTATGAAAGTAGACAGAATAAGATTTAAAAGAGCAGTATGATAATAACAAAAGAGACCCAATTTACACCAGTCAGAAGTTAATCTAAATTTTAACATTGAGGTTGACTTTGAGTGTAGCTAGAGATACAGACAATCAAACAGGTGATAAAGTAATTATTAAGTCAAGCATCCATAAAAGGAGTCAACAACAAAACTGGATATAATTTGCCTAAAGCATGGACCATGATCAACCATCACATAATTCATCCACAAACAGCACAGATATATATGACAGCAGATCTGGATCCATAATGTATGTGGCTAGGTGCTGTTGTTTTCTTAAACATATGAAACACTTATCTCAGTTTATACCAAGATCACACAGGAAAAGTTTTTAAGGTTCACCTGTTGTTTTGTTCGAAGTTGTTTCTATATCCTTGCCACTAGCAGGGAAAAAAGCACCCCAAAACATTTGTCTATGATCCCTAAAATCTGACTTCATATTTGAGCTGTCCTAAGCACAGAGGTCATATCTGACTCATTATGCAATGAACAAAATGAAGATATTAAACATGACATGATTTTACTTCCAAACAAATAATAAGAATTCAAGGAGAATTAAAACAGGAAAAGTTTTCAAATACTTTATAATTTGAGAATAAATTTTATTTTTTCATTAAATATGGTTTTTATGCAAGGAACAGATGTAAACTGTAGAGCCTTCATAAAACTGAAAACCAAAACAATTTTCATTTCTGAAAGTCATATCTGAATGTCTTACCTTTTAAAACTTGAATATTGTATGGTCTAATACAAACAATTCTGTTAATTGTTGTTGTTTTTTGACATATTGGAAGAAGGTCAGAGGCAGCACTTCCGTTTGCAAGGATATTTCAGATAGCAAAGTACTCTCTGTCAAAATGTCATAAACTTGTTTATTGTGAACAAGTTGTTCAAAATTTCTCTAATATCTTTTAATATATTGACGACAGATTATTCTTACTTGCACAAACTTGAAAGGTCTTTAAACTAGGATGCATTTTCTGCAAAATATGACCAAGCTGTCATAAGTAGTTTTTATGATGAAGTTGTTTATAAATTTTTATATGTTTAGGATTTATAATCATATTGGAAAGTAGATCTGCATCGTAAATAAAGTGGGAAAAAAACCATACTGGATGGAAGAACAGCATTTCATGTAACTTGAGAGGCCTTCATATCAATATGTTTTCTGTCAGATTTTAGTAAAGATCTGTTCAGCAATTTTTGAAAAGCCATTAAAACGTTTTTATTTTAATCTTGGGAGCTATTATTGATGGTACATTTGCATTGTTGGAAAAAATGAAAGGTCTGTATGAAATGTGCTTTCTGTCCGATTTGGTCAAATTCTGTTCCACAGTTCTTGAAAAAAGTTGTTGAAAGGATTCCTTATTTTCAGAAGCTGTGTGCCAAGATGCTTTATGTCAAAATCTGATCAAATTCTGCTGAGCCATTTTTGGAGACAAGCTTTAAAGGTTTGTTTTAAATTTTTGTACAGTATCCATGGTTAGGGATTGAATAAACCTCAAAGACCTTTATGCAAGAATGCTTCTCACCAAATTTGGTTAAAACTAGTCTAGCGGCTTTTGAGAAGTTGAAAAAGTAAATGTTGATGGATACATAATGGACATAGGACATTACACAACCAACAATGCATAATATAAGCATTGTTATGGTTACAATATACATGTTCATGAATAAACCTTTCATATGCTCCAGTTGCATCAGACCTTTATATAAACTTGCATGTGTTAGGTCTGTACATGAAACATGCACACTGTATTACAGCTTAATTTTAATGTATGGCAACATTTTTATCTGTTTATAGCCATATTACAATTTTCCTGTTGATCTCTCTTTCTAAGACACAGACACACAAACACAGAAAATATAGCTAAGGAAAGCAATCAGATCAGTGAAAAAAATACTACAACTGATCTTACAGAAAATAAATTGAAAATGAACATCATAGAATATAACTTAACACAGGTCTACAGTTATATAGCTGAATATATACAAATAAATAAATCCAGTTAAACAATTATCTGAAGATGACTATCACATTATTTATAAATGACTGAAAATGCCAGTACCTGTGCCTCTCTCTGATTAAATAGGGAGACACCATCTAAACCATATTTATTGAAAATTTTTACCAATCCTTTCCCAGAACTACTTGGTCTCATTAAAATTATCCTATGATGAATAAAACCAGGCTCATACAAATTCATACAAACATAAATTAACTACTGGAGAAAAAATATGTTCTTCCTATGCAAGTTGACAAGATCTGTCAATCATATTAAAAAGTTATTTATTTTTGTGCTTCATAATTATTCTTATTGTTTTCATAATGATAAATCACATAAAATTAAATGCAATGATGTTCCTCAAAAATTAATGTTACAAAGATAAATGACCTACCTATCAGATGCATGCTTAGAAGATACTGAACAGGTGTCCATATATCTCAAACAGACTGCAGAAAATAACTGTCAAATAAAATATAGAATCTGTGTAGAAAAACAAGCTGACAACATAATAAACAGGTAACTTCACTAGCTCCTGACTTTTGAGAATATTAATTTAAGGTGTATAACTAAGCATTGGCAATATATTGCACATAAGATCATCAACATGATGGCATTTAGATTCTTTATCACTACATCTCAATTAAAAATATACACACAATCACACAAGAAATACATCATTACTTCAACAGAATAGAATCCTTTCCCCATAATACAAGCAAACATACATTAGCTAAGAACTTTATACCTCATTTCTTTCATGAATATTTATAGAATGATTTATAAATGCATCCAGAAGAATGATTTTCACATTTGCTGATTGTAAAATATTTTGGCAGCCCAAGAGATCAATAATTGAGACTGATATAAGATTTTATATATCTTGGTTGCTTTTTGACTTCCAAAAACTTTCCGGATACATCTTACTGACCACATTTTGTAATGAAGTTGTTATCTTCATTAATTTATGAAAGGCATTTTAATCATGAGTCAAAGAAAGGGTTGTTGCACAGTGATCTAAATTTGCGATCAGAAAACCTATAAATTGTTTATATGTTCTTCTTGATGCTGAAACTATGGTCCTGCATTCAGTCTGGAATATGTCACCGTATTCAACTGAAATTAGTAACTGCAGATGGAACAACAATGTTAAATCAGCAAGATTATTTGTCAGTGAGTAGTGGGAAACTTGAGTAGTATGATTATATTACATGTACCTTAACAGTTAGTGGAATATTTGAGTTTGTATGTTACTGGGATTATAATATCCTTTTGTATTGGAATTGGCAACTACTATAGCATGAGAAGAATGGGTATTTTTTTTAGAAAAAAAAGCAAACTTTGTAAATTCAACTGCTGTGTAACCCAGTTTTTAAATGTAGTGGTTTTATTAATATTACTAACAATTGTCTGAATACCAA